TTTCTAAAGTTAAACATTAAAATTGTGTGTGCCCATGTTCATTAGTTTAAATGTCCAAAATGTGTCTAAAGATACTTTATATGTAGTTGAACACTGAATTTAAAACATAGAAGATAGGCCGGGCGTTGGTGGCGCACGCCTTTAATCCCAGCACTCGGGAGGCAGAGGCAGGTGGATCTCTGTAAGTTCCAGACCAGCCTGGACTACCAAGCCAGTCCCAGGATAGCCTCCAAAGCCACAGAGAAACCATGTCTCAAAAAAAAACCAAAAACAAAAAAAACCATAGAAGAATAAAATTGAGGAGCACCCAGGCCCAGATTCAATCCTCAGAGTGCTTCCTAGCAGTTACCTAAAACGTGTCATCTTTTTCTTTTGTCTGTTTTATAAAAATAGTGCAACATAATAAGTATAATATTTTAATAGTAATTTATATATTAAGAGCTGTTAACACAAACATTTTTTAAATAGAAAAATGAACCAGGTGGTGGTGGTACACGCCTTTAATCCCAGAACTTGGAAGGCTGAGGCAGGAGGATCTCTGAGTTTGAGGTCAGTCTGGTCTACAGAGTGAGTTCTAGGACAGCCAGGGCTACACAGAGAAACCTGTCTCAAAATAAAAAAATAAAAAAATAAAAAAAAAAGAAAATGAAGGGTTTGGGACTTAAGCAAATGGAAAATGCTGGCCGATTATGTAATTTACTACACAGATTTTAACATGCTAGCTCTATACTTTTCAATAATATAGTTTGGAAACTTGTACTTTTTAAGTTTACCTTGTACAAATTCTGTAAAAAGAAATTAGCATGTATTCCGTGATAATTAGCTTTAGGTGTTAACGTGATGCAATCTATAGCTACCTGAGAAGAAAGAGCCTCAGTGAGGTATAGTCTGCACGTGGGTACGTTTGTGTGGCATAGTTTTAATTTAGTTCATCGATACGGCAGACCCAGCTCGCTGTGGTTCGTACTGTTCCCTATGCAGAGTGTCCTTAGCTGTGTGGAGACCTGAAGCAGAGCAAATAAGAAGAGGTGAACATGTATGCACTAACTTCCCTCTGCTCTTGACTGTGGGTGTGATCTGTGGTTGAAGTTCTTGCCCTGACTGACCCACAGCGATGAACTGTAACCTGGAATTTTAAGACAATCAAACCCTTTCTCCCATGAGTTGGTTTTTGTCAGAGTATCTTATCACAGCAACAAAGCCAAAACTAGGACATATACCACACACACACACACACACACACACACACACGCACGCACGCACGCACGCACGCACGCGCACACACACACACATATATAAATTTAAGCAATAAATGTAATGACTGAGGCCTGAGATATAGTTTAGTGGCAGAGAGAGCTTTCACGGCACATATATGATCTTGATGCTTTCTTAAAGTTATACAGTCTTCACTATATCTCATTGAAAACTTTTGCTTCATTATTTCTAGTCAAGCAAATGTATATCAGAATATCGTCTGCTATTGCTAACCTATGTAGCTTTAAAAAGAAGCTACGTGACCACATATAATGACTTCCATTTAAGTGACATCTGAGTGTGGTGGAATATGCTTATAATCCCAGACTGAGACAGCAGGAGGACCTCAAGTTTAAGGCTAGCCTGGGTTAAAAGGGAACACACTACAGGGAGAATAGAAGGGGACAGGAATAAATAAAAGAGAGAAATCCTATTCATATTACATGAATATAATCACACAGGCACATGAAATCCTAGTCATGTGTATCTATAACTTAAAATACCTTTTTTCCATATTGGAGACTGAACCTGGGGTCTTGGGCATGTTGAGCAAGTACTTCATACTGAACTACATTCTTAGCCCTAAAAGCACATTATTAAGGAAGCAGTGCTTGGAGCTTGGAACAAGAGGACTTGAGGTCTAAGTCTTGGCATCCCTAGTGTCCTGGCATTTAACTAAGATATGCCCTCAGAGATTCACACATTGCTCTCTCAGGCACCTACGGGGATTCTTATCCTTATCGGCATTCCCTGGCCTCCTCTTCCTTCATGTGACGTTTGTGTGGAGGCCTCCGTGATTCCGCAACCCTTACACTGTGTACCATCAGCTCTAGCAATATGGTCCCTGTGGCTCCGGCAGCCCCTGATGTGACTGGACAGCTGAATGTGGGGAAACAGGCTGCCTGGGGCTCTCTGTTCCAAGCAGTCTTTCAGATGAGTTTAAAACCCTTAGATCTTCCATCCCGGAATGTGTGAGCCTGGCACACTCTTAAGATGCCCTCAGTCACGTTTCCTGTTGTCCCAGTGCAAACAACTTGATTTGTTTACAATTCTCTAATGTTTTTAGCAGTCACACTCTCCTTGTCTGCAACTTCAAACATGATTCTTTTTTGAGCCAAATGCTCTTTTTTTTCAAATCTTTCTGCCCCCTGCCCCCCACCAACCCCATTCTCATTATAAACCTGGCAAAAGCAGGGCGGTGGTGGCGCACGCCTTTAATCCCAGCACTCAGGAGGCAGAGGCAGGCGGATCTCTGTGAGTTCAAGGCCGGGCTGGACCAACAGCCTCCAAAACAATACAGAGAAACCCTGTCTCGTAAAAACCAAAAAATAAAAAAATAAAATAAATAAACCTGGCAAAAAGCAGTTAGCAATACCCACGCTGTGGCCCAAATACTACGTTGCCTTGAAATTTCCTTCACCGAATGCATTATACTGTTAGGTTTACGTTCAGCCTCCTTCAAAGCTTCAGGACCCAGACAAAAAGTAGACAAATGTTTGACCAAAATGTGAGAAGCATGGCCTTTATTGGGTTCCTAGGAGCATCCTGTTCTCCTCTGAGACCTCTCTGTGTGCACGAGTATGGGAGAGTGGGGTGGGGTACAAACGGGGATCGGAGGATGAAATTGGTGTCTTTCCTCTGTGGCTCTCCACCTTGTATTTGAAACAGGGTCTCTAGACTGACTAGCTAGTGAGTCCCTAGAATGTGCCTGCCCTGCCCCCTCCCCCAGCGCTGAGGTTACAGGTACACACCGATATGTCCGGCCTTTTGTTCCAGCTCTGGGAATCTGAATTCGGGTCCTCGTGTTTACACAGCAAACATTTTACCCACGGAACCGTCTTCCCAGCTCCCTGAGTGCTGTTTCCCCTCGTCCCATTTCTGTGGGCACTGAGGTCATCTGAGCATCTGCCAGAATTGAGGTCTGCATACAGCACTCTAGGCTCTCTCTGTCACTTCCCCAAACTCTCCCTCCCTGTAACGACAGCAAAGGGTTAAGAACCACATCGTCAAGGGTAGGCACAGCAATGGTGCCTCTCCTTTCCCGTACCAGATTCCTTTATTACCTTTGCGTACCTGTGAACAAAATTAACAGAATGGCTGAAAAGAAAAAAAAAATGTTTTCCTCATAGTTTCAGAAGGCTCAGGTCAGGGTGACTTGTCCCATGTCCTGGGCGGCAGGTTATAGTGATAGAAGGGTGTGTGAGGAGGTTTGGGGTTTTTTTGTTGCTGTTGCTGGTTTTGTTTGTTTGCTCGTCTTTTGAGACAGGGCTTCTCAGTGTAGCTTTGGGGCCTGTCCTGGAACTCGCTCTGTAGACCAGGCTGGCCTCGAACTCACAGAGTCTGCCTCTCAAGTGCTGGGACTAAAGGTGTGCGCCACACACTACAGCCCAGCGGCTTTGTGGTGAACAGGAAGCAGAGAGCAACGACAAAGACACAGGGCAAAGTTACATCCCCGGTGACCTGCTCTCTCCAACTAGACCTTATCTCCCAAAGTTTTCAGAGCCTCCAAAAATAACTCCACTGTCTGGGAACTACGTGCTCAGTGTACGAATTTGCAGAAGACACTTCATAGTTACACCATAACAACGGCAGCAGGGAGGAAAAAGCTAAACTTCTGGTTGGTGTGTATAAAGACGCTTGCAGAGCCTGACTTATTTCAGCATTTGGAGGTCATGCCCCACCTGATCTTTCCGCCTCTCCTTCCCCAGTTAACCAACACATGCACCGTCCAGCAGTTCAGATATCTGGTGCCTGCAGCCTGTGCTCAGCAGATGTGAACATCACATTTTGGAGCCTTTGGATAGGAGCAGAACATGGAAAGTAAACACTGTGGACTATGGTGTCCCCAGGGTCGCAGCTTCGCAGTAATAACACAGGAGGAAAATAGCAGTAATACGTTGAATGGGGAAGAGAAATGAATACTCCTTTTGGAATATGTAACAGACCTGGCTCTTGCAGCTGTGTGTACCGAGTGATCTGTTTTTAAAGTAGTTTTCTTTGTGGAAGATGACTCTTTAGCCTAGTTTTCAGGCCTCGTGTGCTGTTTCATCCTCTTTTCAAATCTAAAAGAGCTCCATTACACCACATCGACCCGCCTAATTATTTTCCACATTGTGTGCTCTCTGCCTGAGGAGTCACCACATTACATGTGATTCCCTGGGCTGTGCATGTAGTACCCATGAGTTGTGGAGAGCGCAGAGGTGTGTTGTCCTGAGAAGATGGCTGCTGTGACACAGAGTGGCGGGTGGTTCTGATCAGACCCTGAGAGCGGATTCAAATGCCGAGGGTGTCCTCCCCCACTCCCCTACTCCCCACCCCCAGCTCGCCCTCCGCTCCTCCCCCAGCTCGTCCCCACCCCTCTTCCCCTCCCCCCAGCTCATCCCCACCTTTCTCCCCCCAGCTTGCCCCCATCCCCCTCCCCCTCCCCCAGCTAGCCCCCATCCCCCTAACCCTCCCCCCAGCTTGTCCCCCACCCCCTACCCCCCAGCTCGCTGCCTTGTGTTGTTGCACAGCACATGTGTCCTTGTCCCCACCCCCCAGCTCGGCCCCCCCGCTCCTCCCCCCAGCTTGCCCCCACCCCCTTACCCCCCTGCTCCCCCCACCCTCCTATCCCCCCCAGCTCGCTGCTTTATGTTGTTGCACAGCATGTATGTCCTTGGGAGTTGTGTGCTGAGGAGGAAATTATGTATCAGGAAAACTATCTGGTGAACAACAAAATAACCCTTGTGTCTGTTTCTTCCAGATAGTATTTTGGCTACAGTTTTCATGGCCTCCATATGAACCTCTTCTACTTGCTTCTCTGGCGGCTGGAAGTTTGTCTCAAGGTAAAGTGCTGATTGCAGCACTCAGGAAACACCGCTCCAGGCCTCCTCTGGACCAAGCACCATACACAGGCCTGGAACTCACACTCTTCGGCACCACACGTTTAGAACGTAAGCAGGACGGAAGCAAATCGCTCTGCATAGCTAAAACATGAGGGCAAGGACACAGGGCTGTGCGTGAGAATCAAGGACAAAGGTGTCAGGAGCCAGGAAAACAGCTGTGGGACCTCTGTGGGCAGAAGAGCAAAAGACTACAAGCAGGGAGCGGGGGAGGGGAGACACAGTCACTGGAGAAGCCTGTTTAGTGTTGCATTGTGTCTGAAAAGTGAAACAGCTTTTTCTAACATCATCGGGGAGTAAAGCTTAGAGAGGTCGAAAGACTTTTTTCATGCAGTGTATTTTGATCATGTTTTTCCCCTTCCCCAATCCCTCCCACATCCTCCACACCTCACTATGCGCCCAACGTGTCCTTCTTTCTCTATCTCCTTACAAAAACACAAACACGAACAAGAAATACGTGCATTGAAAACCCTCCCCCAAAAAATGTGAAATGGAAATCAAAGCAAAAAACCAGTAAGACAAAAAATGCCCAAACAAAGCAAAATGAGACAAAATGTTGTAAAATTAATCTTTTTGTACACTGTGAAAATGTGTTGTTCTCATTGGTTTAATAAAGAGCTAAGTGGTCAATAGCCAGGCAGGAAGAGGGTAGGCGGGACTTGCAGACAGTGAGAGAACACTGGAATGAAGAAAGGCAAAGTCACGAGGAGATGCAGGACGAAGCAAGATGAGCATGCCATGTTGAAAAAAAAAAAGGCACCGAGCCACGTGGGAGAACACAGATAAGAAATATGGGTTAACTTAAGTCACAAGCGCTAGTTAGTAAGCCTAAGCTGTCAGTCAAGCATTTGTAGTTAATAATAAGTCTCCGTGGTTATTTGGGAGCTGGCTGACAGGACAGAAACTTTTGCCTGTACAAAAAGTTTACAAAAATAATATGGAGTCTGTTTTGTGTTGGCCAGCTACTCCTGGGAATGGACCCTGCCTTGTAGTTAATATACCCAGTGAGACTCCATTGGGAGAACTAACTTTTCCTTTGTCAGAAGGTATCAATTGCAGATAGTCTATTGGTTAGGAGTGAGACCCCATGTGTACTGCCCCCTTTCAGAGCTGGGCTCTGTCTGGCTTGAGCCTGTGGAGGTGTTTATGCATGCTGCTGCCAGCATTTGGTAAGTTCATCTGTACAACAGCCCTAGTGTGTCTGGAAAATGTTTTTCTTAGAGTCAGCCACACCCCCTGGGTCTTACACTCAATCTCCCCCTCTTTTTCCACATGGATCCCTGAGCCATGAGGGGAAGGCTTTGATGAGGACATCCCATTTACAATGAGTGCAGAGTCTCTCACTGCACATAGCCTACTGGAAGCACACATCTTTATTTATTTATTTATTTATTTATTTATTTATTTATTTATTTATTTTTTAGGGAATCCCGAGCATCACACCCACTGTTAAGAACACTTTGTTCCTATTCTGCTTCCTGGTAGCCAGCAGAAGTCTGTTAGAAAATGTGGGCAAGTTCAGTCACCTACGTAGAACCAGTCACAAGAGTAAGAAGCTGAAATGAATAGGAGTGTCTACAAAATGATCCCCATTAGGAAATATAAAGAAACACCATTTTAGTTCCATCACTGTCGGCTGCTTTTGAAGGGGAAAAAAGATGACAGTGTTTTCCTGGATAAGGGTTTATCTGAGTCTTTCCAGTGGTATAAACAGCTTGGGTCATGCTTACTTCACCCCAACACCATTCCTTAGCAGTGAGAGCTGTCAGTTTTAATGAAAAGATATGAACTGTGAGTTTTAAAGAGTCTCTAGGAAGCATAAGGGAAAAGGCTGCAGATGTCATTCATTAATTGAGAATTTAGAACATGTCCATAATAAAGAAACATGTATGATGAGTTCTAATACCATTGATGCTTTTAAATGGTGATTCTTAAATAAAGCATGTTTGGGGACATACCATGTATTTTTATTATCTTTGAATGAGGTTTTGAGTATCTTTTAAATCATTCAACCAATACTGGATACCTATTATGTGTTAGGGACTTGTCTCAGTGCTTACATCAGTGAACAAAACAAAGAACCTGTGTTAGCCAGGGTTCTCTGGAGTAGCAGAACTTATAGAATGACTCTCCATATGTATAGAAATGGAATTTTTTTAGAATGACTTGTAGGCTGCAATCCAGCTAATCCAGCAATGGCTGGCTGTGAAGAGAAAGTGCAAGAATCAGTAATTGCTCAGTCCACAAGGCTGGGTGTCTCACCAGGTCTTCAGTGTATGCTGGAATCCTGGAGACGTCGGCTCCAATGCCAGTGAAGGGATGGACTTGCTAGTGAGGGTGAGATCAAGCAGGCAGAGAGCAGGCTTCCTTCTTCCGGGTCCCTACACAGGCTGCCCACAGGAGGTGTGGGCAGATTAAAGGTGGGACTTCCCACCTCAGAAGATCCAGGTTAGAAGTAACTCTTTTCATTTACACTTCCAAATTATGAGACACTCTTCATTCTCAAAATTTCAATCAAGTATTCATTCAGCTGAGGGGGGAAATGCTTGCAAATCGTCCCAACATGTAGAAACGGCCTTCTTCAGAGCAATGTGAACCCAGATTTGGGAGACACAGTCACTACCCCAGAGATTTTTCAAGAAAGCAAATTAGTCATATTTGCGGTTTTAAATATTCTTACCAAAACCTCATTTGAATGTCATCCCCCGTGTTTGGGGAGGAAATGCTTTAAACAAATCCTACTTAATAATGGGTTTTCTCAGTTGGGCCGTGGTCATGCACGCCTTTAGTCCCAGCACTCGGGAGGCAGAGGAAGGTGGATCTCTGTGAGTTTCTACAGATCAAGTTCCAGGACAGACTCCAAAGCTACACAGAGAAACCCTGTCTTGAAAACCCAACCCCATTGCTGGGGGGAGGGGGAGACAGCCAAATCAGGGCACTAGTTCCAGGAGGAGATTTTTAGCTACCATTTGAGCAGTTTCAGTCCAGGTGGAGAATGCTTCTGCCCACCAAAAAAAGCTGTCTACGAAAACGAGCGGGTACTTTTATCCTCCCCCAGCAGGCTTGGAGCTTTCCCTACCAGTGACAGGACATGTTCCTGGGGCCTCTGGAGCTCATGGCTTTCTTGTTTCCTAGGGTTTGTTTCACACTAAAGGATTCACTGGAGTGCTAGGGATTTGTGGTGGCCTTTAAAAACTTGCATTTCAGTTATGGCTTCAGATAGACTCCGTTGTTTCTTTTGTTTGTTTGCTTTTGGGTGTTTTTTTGTTTTTTTTTTGTTTTTTTGGTTTTTTTTTTTGAGACAGGGTATCTCTGTGTAGCTTTGGAGACTGCCCTGGAACTAGGTCACGTAGGCCAGGCTGGTCTTGAACTCACAGAGATCCACCTGCCTCTGTCTCCTGTGTGCTAGGATTAAAGGCTTGGGCCACCACTTACTGCCCAGCTAGTTGTTTCTTGTCTAAATTCAGTATTCCTGGTTTTTGTTTGTTTGTTTGTTTGTCTTTTGCTCTCTGGGTGATACTTTCTTTTTTTTTTCTCCATAGAGAATGAACCAATTATAATTTCCAGTTTTTCATTTGTTAATATATTTTATTACTTGCTATTCTGTTTTCTAGATCATTTGGTAAGGACTTGGTTGGCTACCCCAGGGCATGGTTCATTCATTCTCTTTGAGTAAATATAGAAACAAGCCTAGCATCTGGCTGAAGCCTTAACACCAGGATTCTGAACACTGACAGTGTCATGTGATTTTGACTGACCCACATTCCGACCTTTCCCTCCCCAGAAGTGGTCACAAAGTTCACACGTCAATCCCCACAGCCTTCATTCCTTCATGACACACAACGTCTATAAAGACAAATGCTATACGTGTTGTTGTTCAAGTACTGAAGTTTGCAATCTTGCTTTATTTAAAGTGACCTCTAATAACTAAGGGAGTATGAAAATGTCAGTTTGTTGAACACATCTAGTAAACAGAGTGCTTGCATTAATATCAACATTGTGTATTTGCTTTTTACTAACTGGGCTTCCGGGTGTGGCAAGCTTATCTTGTTAGTGTCTGCTTGGTCATAAGGTGCTCCTAAATTCAAACTTCTGTCTCCTGCTCATTGACTGATGCAGGATGCTGTGCTCGCCTTGCCTAACCCTCTGGGCTTGAAAAATATAAAAGAATAAATGTAATCAGATGAGTTCATAATAGCAACTTTAATTCTATGGCCATGTTTATTTTATAATAAAGCACTCACGAGGCAGCATATCAGTAGTATCTCCTTTGGGCTTTAAGTTATAGCTGAGTTGGAGTGCTCATCTAGTATCTACAGTGACTTAAGTTTAAGTCCCCACCGTGCATGCGTGCGTGCATGCATGCCTGTGTGTGTGTAGTGCAGGCCTGTAACACTACCAGTTATGAGGTGGATTCAGGAGGATCAATAGTTCAATGTTGCCAGGTGTTGGTGGCTCACGCCTTTAATCCCAGCACTTGGGAGGCAGAGGTAGGCGGATCTCTGTGAGTTCAAGGCCACCCTGATCTACAGTGGGAGTTCCAGGACAGCCTCCAAAACAATACAGAGGAACCCTGTCTGGAACCCCCCCAAAAAAAGTTCAATGTCATACTTGAAAATATCAAGTTCAAGGATAGCCTGGGATATATGAGGCACTAGCTCAAAGACAATGTCTCCTCCACACTCCTGTTCTTCCCTTGGCTACTCTCCCCAAACTCCAGTCCCTTTTCAAACATGGGTTTACCTATGGCCCACCACATAGTAGCAACTGTCCTTAGAACCAAATGTGTGCAGAATTCAAATACCTTTTTTTGGTGCATATTAGGTTTTTTTTTCTTTCAGTTTCAGTCAAGAGATTTTCTGTTATTAGAAAATAGCAGCCTATTGCAAAAAAAGGTTAAAAAATAAAACATTCTTGATCAACTCCCATTTTTGTACAAAGTGTGACTTTACCTGCATATGTCATCAGAAAGACTGACAGACGGAAAACTCTGTGAAAGACATCTGGCACCAGGCACCTGGCTCACACCTTGGGTATACTTCCCTCTTGGC